GTGACACATAAAATGTGACTGATTAGATTAAATGCAGGTAATTACTTAGCCATGAAATTGCCTGCCCAATTAAATAGGCAGTCATTACTGTAAATGTGTGCTTTGAAGTGGGGGCTGGTAGATAAACTCCAGCACAGCTTTCCACTTTGTTGAAATAAAAGCATGTATGTATTGCAGACAGTACTGAATTTTACCACCATTGTGGTACTTGTGCTTATCAAGTTCTGGTTTTTATTTCCTTTTTTTTTTCTTTTTTTTGCAGTAAGCTTGCTGCTTTTACCCATCTTGAAATCTTCATATCCAAAGGCAGTCTCTCTTTATGAGAAATGTAATAAGGTCAAGTTTTCAAATTCCTGGCTCCATTTGACTTTAGTTGAAAACAAGTTACTTTTCTGTGCCATTTTCTAGTGCCATAGTCCTCAGGGTGGACACTGGGGCTGAACCAGAGGTTGCAAAGTTTGCATGTTGGATCTGCAGCTGACTAGTCACATCCAGCCTCTTCAGCACAGTTGTGGTCTGTGTGTGTGTGTGTGTGTGTGGTGTGTCTGTGTGTGTGTGTCTGTGTGTGTGTGTGTGTGGTGTGTGTGTGTCTGTGTGTGTCTGTGTGTGTGTGTGTGGTCTGTGTGTGTGTGTGTGTGTGTGGTTTGTGTGTGTGTGGTCTGTGTGTGTGTGTGTCTGTGTGTGTGTGTGGTGTGTGTGTGGTTTGTGTGTGTGTGGTCTGTGTGTGTGTGTGTGCGCGCGCGCACGTTTGTGGGATTCCCAGCAGGGAAAAGAGTGTGATCAACTGCAATGTGCCATCCACTCAGCTCTGAGACTCTACATTCAGTTTTTCTTCTCTTCCCTCCCCTATATATTCTTCAAGAATCCTCAAGGAAGGGGGAACACTCCCTTTCAGCCACTAGACCTGGCAAATGGTGGCTCCTGGCACGTAGTAGGCCGTCATAGATGAACTTACTGAATAAATGGTTAGCTGAATGAATGAAACCAGAAAACCCTTGCAGAACAAAATACTCTTGATAATTTTAGGGTGATACCATATCCTTTCTCCAACCTTGAGATGTACATACCTATCACATGACTTTCCAGAATAATTTTATTCCCAAATTGGCGAGGACTAAGCAATGGCCTGTGTCCACAAAACCAACCCATTAAGAACTCACACTTGGAGGATGGTAGTGGATTTTTTCCTGGTTTTCCCTGCGATCACTTCAACTCCAGGGGAAGAGTCTACCGAAGACATGCCTGCTGTGTATCTTTCAACCGATGTAGACAATAATCACTAACACATCATCTTCTATTTCTGGTCTGAAATGTTTTATGCCTCCCTTTGATTGATTATATTGTCATCAGTCTGTCCCTAAATAGTAGTATGTAATTACACAGACATATCACCCACCTATATTTAGTTCTTTTCTCATTTAAGAGGAAAAAGAATGAACTTGGCTAGTATAAAAGAATGAAATTGGCTTGTCAATGTATTTAACAAGAGGATATTTAACATCTGTCTAAGACCCTTGCCCCTGTTGGGTACAGATGAGTCATGCTTCTTTTCAAGACCTCATTTTCTTTTTATGACTAAGAGAGGGGAAAAAAGTGCAGGAAAGACAATGTTTTTTTGGCCACAAAAACTGTCCTTAGTAAAATAGTTTTTCAAAGATTTCTATTTAACCCTATATAAATGTTTCCTCACATTGTGTTGGTTAAACTCTCATCTGGCAACCTGCAAAGTTTTTAAAAGTCTTGACAGAATATGCTTTAATGAAAGGGGAGAGCTGAAAGAGCCTTCACCTCTCAGAAAAGTCAACGAATTCTACAAAAGTAAACAGGGTGTGGGAATAGAACATCTCTCCCAACGTCAGCTCCAAAACTCAAAATCAAATGTTTCCATTAGCAAAGAGAATCAGGCACTCCGCTGTGGCATTACAGCCACAATTATTCTGGATACCTCATGCTAATCTGTGTTTTGGAGCTGAATGATTTCTAGCATTTGACATCTGAAACTTTTGTGGCTTTTATCTAAGCAAAGAAAACAGTGATAATGGACATCTTCCAGCTGCATACCTTCATGACATTAAATAGGCTTTATTTGGATTAAGTATTGCAATTGTTTTCAGAATTTGAAGAGGAGGAAAGGAAAACTGACATGTATACTTTTATGCCATCAAATTTTGAACTTGGGTCTCGCACCACATTTGCAGTCTTAAATAAACAACAGGCTCAAGTCTTGCCAGAGCCTCATTTCAGTGATAGGATTTAGGGATGATTTATAAATTGCAGTGAATTGAAATAGAAGTAGCCACAAAACTGAACAAAGACGGGATGCCAAACATAATGGTTATCTACTGCATCCTCACACAGGATGCACTTCTTGCACTTCTTAACCTGACTTGGTGGTGTTAACAAATCATCTCTAAATGATGTGTGAAACTAAATTTATTAAAGTTTGTCACAGGAACATTCAACACCCTAGAACAAATGCTTTTTATCTACTAAGTTGACCCATAAATAGACACATGGTATCCTATGGTTAGGAAAATAAAATGCCTGTTTATCAGGAAAAGAACCACTAATCCATTCTAAGAAGATTTCAAGAATTGCCTTCAGATTTATAACTTCTATTTAAATATGATCACGCTCCATCTGTTACTACAGAATTCTTAAATGCCTGCAAAGCACCTATCAGTTGAGTAGGAATATTCAGCAAACCATTCCCTTGGTTAGGTTGAGTAATACCCGTTTGTTGTTAAAACTACTTCAATCAAGTAGATGTCAATGGGGAAAAGGGGAAAGAAAGAATATCCCATTCTTTTCTGGTGCTTTACATTATCCTTGCTAATTATGGCAAACCTTTCTTGAATCCTGAGGATTTATAACTTGAACAATGATTTCCTCTGTTTATTTTCTGCACTAGAGTCTGATACTCTCTGCTGGATCTAAGTAGATCTTTGAGCAACTTTAGTTTTAATAACTGTGCCATTGCAGATCCATTCTGAAATTGGATAACTTTTCATAGGTTTATCTATGTCATCCAACTCAACTTTGCAAACCTCCCTTTTTATCTTATCTTCAAAATACATATGCACATATGTGTGCACACACATGCACACACACATACCAGCACGCACACGGTCTGGCTCCACTGTGCTCCCATTTATGCTCAGACTACCCTTCCCAGTTATTTCCTTGCTCCCCATCCCCCTCCCACCACCATGGGGTCTGGGGAGCCCTCCTCCCCCAGATCCCCAGAGTTAGGGAAGATTCCAGATGCACATTTTCAAACTCAGGAAATTTGGGGCTCCTGTCCCCATTGAGGATATACTTGGGCTCTTGTTACCTGTCAGCCATTACTACCCCAGTTTGGACTGCTAAATAGGAAGTGTAATTACAACTCTTACCTCTCAAAAGAGGGAGAACATGTTCAGAGTTACACTAGGTTGCATCTCTGAGGATCACTTTTGTAGTTTAAAAGGCAATTATTTTACCCCCAAAAATGCTGTTCATGCCAAGCTTTCAAGTAATTTTTTAAATTTTAAAATCATTTGACCATACTATCTTTTTTTCTTCACAGATATTACAACAATTTAAGGGGGACAATTTTTCCTGTTTCATCTCTCTCTTTTTTCTTGTGTGTGTGGCAGCTGCTGTTTGATCTGTTCATTGGCTCTGATTTGTTTCATGTTTCAGCCAAAGATTAAAACTGCTCTGTAATTCTAAGCAGATGGGCCTAGGAGTCCAACCCTATAATTATACCTTCTCTCTTTTTGCCCTCGAACTGCAAGCCTTCCATCCCGACTGTTAAAATTCTGGGATCACTGGGGCTCTGAGTACACCTTGGCAACTGGACAGGTCTGGCCCAGCCAGACAAGTTCACAAAGACTGTGGAGCTATGCAAGCCATCCACCTGGGGCAGGACTACAAAGAAAACAGCATCCCGGTGGCTTGTGGGTTAACAATCCCTTGACCCTCCGGAGGGAAGGTCCTCAGCCTGACTTTCAGTCCTGGCTACCATGCATTTTGAAGCTGGAGCCCGCTGCAGGTTTGGGGTGGCTGCGGTGGGTGTTGAGGAAGGAGAGCCAGGAAGTCATGCTGTTGAAATGTCAGGTGTCTGACCATTAGGGACAGTTTGCTCAGGACACCCATATCAACACGACGTGATCTGCCACAGCCTGTCAGGATTATGAACCCGACGCGCCATAAAAACCTGCGTTGTTCACCCCAAAGAAATTCTGTTTTGGTGTTTTCAGTGCAATTTCTGGAACCCGTTGAAAGGGCTGATGTTCTCTAGCTAAAGGTTTACTAGAACCCCTGGGGAAAAGTGGCACAGGAAGCTCAGGAAATGGGGCGTCAAGTTTGGGTGCGCCTTAGGAGACTGGTTATAATGCTTAAATCTTGGCTAATAGGAGTCCCCTGTTTCTTAAAATTACACCCAGAGAACGCAGCAGTCCACTTGGGAGAAAACCCCACAACCCCGCCTCAATCGCGAGGCAAAGTGCAGGCAGACAACAAACACCCGTTTTCCGAAGGCAGACAGATGTGTCTTCCCAAATGATCAGTTTCTCTTTCCACTCTCCTAAAAGCTTGGAACACATCAAGAGCCTGCTGCATCCTGACCTTTTGGAAAAAGGCTCGCAGAGCCGGCGATTTCATGGCAGTGTACAGTTAGAAAATCCAGCAGAGTGGACGGAAGTTTCCCTCGGACTGGATGCAATGGATTCTGGACATAAAAGGTGTCTGCGTGCGAGAGCTTCTACCCTTCCAAAAAGAACAGTCGCGCAGCAAAGAGCTCCAGGCGCCCTGGGGTAGAGGGCTCCGAACCTAGGAAAGCGGGCAGAGCCCCCCTCCCAGGGCTGACACAGTCGGCGCGGGGCTCCCCTCGGATCCGCCCCGCCGAGGGGACAGTGTAGACCGTGCCGCGATCCGGACCCGAAGCCTCCGCGGGCTCCGCGGCGCCCGGCTGCCCCCTCCGTCCGGGAGCGCTCCAGTGGCCCTCGGAAACTCACCGTGAAGCAGGAGGGCCGGGAACAGGTATCTGAGCAGGAGGCGGCGCGGCCAGGACATTTCCAGTCCTGCTCTGGGCCCTCCCGCACGCTGCGCTCCGATTTGGTGACCGGGCAGCTGGGCGCGCGCTCTGCCCTCCGCCTCCGGCCGGGTGCGGCCGGGCCAGGCCGGGGCTTCAGGCGGCTGCGGCGCGCCCCATGCCCGGTGGGCGAGGCGCGGGGCTGCGGGGCGCGCGCTCCCTGGGCGCCGTCGGGCGGCTGTGGGCGCCCCGGCCCGGTCCGCGTCCCGGCCTCTCTGCCGCCCGCCCCGACTTCTCCGCGCCCGGCCCCGCGTCCCGCCCCGGCCGCCGCGTGCGCCGCTCCGAGCTGCAGTGGCCGCCACCGCCACCGCAGCTGCAGCGTCTCTTCATATTTCCAGGGCGCCGCCGGCGGGGCAGCCTGGCCGCGGCACGGAGGAGGGGCCCGGGAGGGGGCGGTCGGGGGAGGCGACGCCGAGCCACCGCCCCCGGGCAGCCGCCGCCGGGGGGAGCGCGGAGACTTGAAAGGGCGCGTCGGGCAACGCCTCCCCTCCTCCCACTCCGGCCGCCCCTCCTTCCCCCGCTCCCCCCCGCTTCCCTCCTTCCCCTCTCTCGCCTACCCCTCCTCTCCCAGCGTCCTACCCCTTCCATCCTCCCCTCCTCCTCTCCTCCCTCCAGGGCCCTCTGCCTCCCTCTGCCTCTGCGCACCCCTTTCTCTCCTCCCCGCCCCCCATTCCGGGCGCGCTTCCTCCTTGGAGGGGCTGGGATCCTTCGGCCCCGCACCCCGCCCGCAAGGAAAGAGAATGCGCGGGTCACCCTCCCGCCTCCGCCGACGCCACTGGGGAAAGGTGTTCAAAGGGGGTGCGGGCGGCGAGGCTGGAGGCCTCGCGTGGGATCCGAGCAAAGCGGCCTGCTGAGCCGGGGTGTGCGCCAGCGCGCAGGCGTGGGAGAGAGGGGAGGCCAGAGAGAGAGGCCTGGAGGGCTGCTGGGGGTGAGGATGCCTCAGCGCTGGGCCCCCTCGTGGGTGCGGGCGGGTCTTCACTACAAATCGCCTGCCCCGGCCCAGTGCCTGGCTCCTCTGGGGAGCACAGGGAGCCTTGTCACAGGCCCCAACCTGCGAAGGGCACGGTATAGGCGGCAGGAGCCCGTTCACTTTTTCCTCCCCCTTTCACGAGGCAAATGACTTGTTGAAACACGGGAGAAATCTCCGAGAAACGCTCCCTGTCAGTCTAAGAACGTGCACTTAGGCCCCTTCGCCGAGTCCTCTTCTCTCCCAGGGCAGATTTAATCACCACAATCACGCTGATTTTATTTGTGTTCCGCGGTCTTGTGGGGGAGGGGGGACTACATGGGCGTTTAAGAGCCAAAGGCAGGAAGAGTTTCCCCTGGGGTCCTTCGTTCTCCAGGGCGGGTACAAGGCAGTAGCCATCTGATTTACCTGGAAGGTCCCTCCCCTGCCAAGGGCCTGCTTGAGCCCTTCGCCTCTCCCAGGAGTTTTCCCTCTCCTAAGGCAAATGTCACCTCTTCTCCACACTAGGATAGAGAGCAGACAGGAGACCCAGTGGAGTCTAGAGAACATTTCTGGACTCAACTCTGCTAGTGTTTTTCATTAAAAAAAAAAAAAAAAAAATTAAAATAAATGCCTGATTTCCCGAGAGAATTCTCTGCCCCTTTGAACAATGCAATAATTCAACTCGTTATGTGTTAGACTTTCAAAACTAGTTGGATCTTAGCAACAGTATAATAGTAAAATAGATGAGCATACATTTGACAGTTTCCACTTTTCTTTTTTTTTTAACCTGAGAAATCCATGGGTGTTTTGATGTGATAGTGCTGACGCTGTTTGATGTGTCTTAATTTTTATCACCATCATTATCATCTTTCCATCGTTAATACAGAGGATCATAACATGTACCAGCTGCTCAGCTCACAAGGACGTTGTGAAGATTAACGTGCTACTGTTTGCAAATCTTGAAGATGAAAGAATACCTGTGTGGGCAAAAAGAAGATCATGAAAGCGATGCCTATGAGCGCAGGCATTATTTTGCGTTAGTCTTCCTCTGCCACATCTTCCTGAGCCTGACTTTGTTCCTAATCATTCTCTCATCATGGTTGCTAGGCTTGGGTAGCAGGCTATGATTTGTAAGATTTGAATGTTTGCCAAGGACCAATCAAATTTTCATTTTAAACCAAGAACTTGACTTCTTCACAAATGTGGGGCAGTTGAAAATGATGTAAACAGCATACTTGGCTGGTTATGCAGAACAAAAGCCTTGTCACCAAAAACACATATGAGGCGGTGTTTAGTTTTTCAATGTCTTTTAGTCATTTGATGCCTTTTAGGCTATCAAAGAATATTTGAAACAAGCAAAAGGCGTAAGAAGTTGCTAGGGATGGTGCATTTTTGTATAAGCAAATTGGTTGACAGTAATGGAAAAATGTTTAGGTTATTCATCACATATTAGAAGAACAATTAGGACATGTATGTGCTTAATTTTTTGATTTTGTTATTAAAAAAAGGATAAAACCAATAGGTCAGCTGTAATTTGGTGTCATTTTGACAGTCAAGTTGCTTCAATTTTTGTTTTTCCAACCGGTTTTACTGGTGTGGTATAAACATAGCCAGAATGAAGTCAGCAGTTTGAAATTTGTTTTGCCAGTTTATTTCCCCCATGTAGCATCACAGATTTAAATACTCGACCCTCAACATAGCATCCTGCCAGAGTGACTACTCCCTGAAAATGTCCCCGCAACGTCCAACAGTCGAGAAGATCTAGATTTGTCTGAGGATAGGGTTCATTTTCTGCATTACTTTTTACTTCTGCTGTCAATGTACCTCCTTCTGGAGAAGAATAATGAAAGAAAAAGGAAGACATGTAAATTTGTCTTAGGGAGGTTATTTGTGGATATATGTTTAGCGTAATAGAACTGGGAAGGAGGCATTGCTAGGGAGGTAATGAAGTGGCTGTTAAATCCAGCACAGAATTGGGACCCCTGAAACAAGCACAGGGGATTCCCCAGACCACTTATGAGAACCCAAGCCTCAAGCAGGAGCGTGTGGAGCCCAGGTCCTGGTGATAATGGGAGTGTCCTTGGCAGGGACAGCTGGACAGGATCTCCTTAAGAGCATCAACAAGTGTGTTAGAATATCCAGAGCTGTTCATAAATAGCCTTGGCCATGCTGATGGAGAAGAGGAAACTCATAGGAGCTAAGTTCCCAGCCACACAACACATCACCAGTGCACTTGGAATGCCTGTGATTTGTTCAGTCACCAACTCATGAGGCCTCTCACATGTCTACCAGGCAGTCTTTTTCCAGAAGCGTAGTTGCCCTAAATCTGAGCCTCTATAGTCGCCTGTCTTTGAGTCAGAACCAGTCCTTTGCTCTTCCCTAGGAACGCTCAATCATGAGTAAATTTCCTGGGATGTAGAGCTTGGGTGATCGCCTTGGCTTGATTTTTTTGGAGGGTGTCTTTATTTTTAGTGAGCACAGAGTAGTAGAAAGTTCTGTTTCATTGTTGTCCTGGGAGGCACAAGGACCAATGCCTCTTAAAACCTGGGCCACAGTTTGGTTTTCTAATGCAGTCGTTGTGAAAATTGGTATGAAGTTGGACCATCGTGCAAGTCATTTAGTCATTTGGAATTTCTGAGATTCTAGGCCTTTTCGTTCTAAGAAGGGCCAGGGTATTTAAAACATGGATTCTAGAACACAGCGAACTATGAGTACGGTCGAAAGCATTTGACTACCCTCTGAGTCCTCAGAGCCTGCAAAATGTCACCAGGAATAGACGTTTCTTGAAATTTGTCAGATATCAGTTCGAAGCTTGTGAGGTTACATTAAATTCCCACAGACTGGAAGTGTTCAAAGGCCAGGAGTGGCTGAGTCATCACCGATCCCCTTTTAGCACCAAAGCCAGTATTTTCAGTCTTTTGACCACAGCAGGACTTTGAGAAATGGTAGACATAAAATTTCAAAAATCCTACACAGCTCCCTCAGAGGCCAAGACGATCAAATTATCCCAAGGGGTCCTTAGAAGGGGGCATATTTTTGAGTTATCCTTTTTAAACACGCTAACTAGAACAAGCTCTATTTTGAAAATAAAATGCAGTTGAGATGTATCCCTGAGCAACACAACCTCTGAGGTTAAGAAATTAAATGTTAAATTCCATTTTATACTCCTGGCATTTATCAGAGAAAACAAATAAAATGTTTGTGAGCTTAGCAAACATTCATTCATGTTTTGACCAACTGCTGAGTGTCAGACACATACGTACAACCACCTGAAAACAGGAACAGATACGTATGAAGGGGATTCGGCTTCACTGTTCATTTACCCTCTGTCACAAGTCTGTTTGGGGGACTGATGAGAAGACTAGGGACCCTTCCCACTGGAGGAAGATATGAGACCTCCTCAGGGACAGGGGACACTCAAGGACCTCAATAGCGTTTTTGTCGGTACCTTCATATGACTTAGAGACGACTCTTCCTTTTAGTGCCGATTGCCTTCTATGTCCAACTGCTTTATCTGCGCAACTAAATTATTTGGCCCTTTGAAGGCAGGAAGAAAATCGGGTATTATGTGTGTGTCTCCTCCCCCCGTCCCTTCACAAGTCCTTCTATAATGGGCATTTGTTGGACTCGTAAATGAGGCAGGATAAGATCAGACCATCAAAAAAGAGTCTTTATGAGCCAACACCACCCTAAGCCACTTCGGCACCCAACTACAGAAACGGGAAGATAAAAAAACTCTGGTATTCACTGTGAGCGTGCCCGAGGTTGTTATGGCACACATAGCAACACTCAAACAAATGCGACAAATAAGAGGCAGCCTGGCACGATTCTAAGGAGCCAGATTCCCTGGGCACAATCTCTCAGCTCTATGACCCTGGGCAAGTTACTTAATCTGGCTGTGCCCCAGTTTCCCCATCTATAACATGGGGATAATAGCAGCATATACCTGCACATAGTTAAGTGCTACATAAGTGTACCCTAAATAGTAATTCACTGACAATAATGAGTTTAGATTAGACTGTACATTCTCAACAATAGCAAAATTGCCCCCAAGGGAGCAAAAATTGGTTCTTAGTGGGGGAGGTGAAAAAACTTAGATATTACAATGATTTATAGCCCTTCAGAAAGACAGTACTTAAACAGACGTAAAGTGTATCCATGGTACTTACAATCTAATGGGATGAGTAGAAGAAAATGTTTAAAAAGATTTCTTCAGGGGCAATAATAAAAAGGAAGTTTGAGAAACATTGTACAAGATGAAAATTATAAGATTAGTCCTATTACAATTAATCATGTATCAAACATTTTAATAACTTTGTTCCTTTAATTCACTATGTTTTGATTATATGAAACCAAATATGTTTTACTTCAGCTGACCATCTAGGGTGGCAGTCTACCATCTGATTACATCATTGTAACATTACATTCAGTGTTGCTTATCTCTCATTGAGATAATTCAGC